TTTCATTCTTAAAAGATTGCCTACCTTCTCACCTAACCACCAAATTATATCCAAATTACAAATAGCTATGATTCTGCCCTTATCTGAGCCTAATCTATTTGCCAACACTGATGAAGATTATATGAAATTTGTCTGGAGTTACTGTAGCAAAAATGCAGCTACAGTGCATCTACTTTGCTATGAGTATAAAACTACTGAGCTATATTATAATATAATTCTTCTATCAAGTGCTCCAATTTGGAATGAAATCATGGTCCACTAACATGCTACTCTGATAAGGTGAATTTTTAATCCAATACAGAGTGCTACTACACAACATCTAGTTGGTTTCTTTTTTGCACAAGTTCTAATGCAGAAACACAATTTCTGGTTCTAATACACACATAATTCAGCAGTTATAACACACCTCCAAAAATACAAAAATACAAGAATAATGCTAACATGTAACTGAGCAGTTTAACATGCCATGCCCACTGTGAGTCAACTTGTTTGATTGTTTTTATACATAGATGGCTACACTTGTACTAAGTCACCAGTGAGCCAATTACGAGTACTGCCTGTCTCACCCGTTCACCCTTTTCATTGATTTACGAAAATATTTAACGTTATCCTAATTTGCTGTTAAAATAACACCATCTATATTTACAGTACTAGTAAGAATACATTTTTTTCCTGCCAATTAAATGAAAATATAAAAAATGAGTACAGCATTTTCCCCATTTTTTATTAATTTTCCCTGGTGGCAATGGGTTAATTAACATACATTCAAGATAATTTCCATATTTAACATCATGAAACTTCCTAAACAAATATTTGAAGGTATAATTTTAGTGAAGTCAAGCTGGTCATAGCAAATGATGTTTTAAGTGAAGCTCTCATCAGTTCTTGAGCTTCTTATGTAATATGAAACTCTTAAGAAACATGAACACAGTCTAATTAAATTCTTAAAACTAAAAACACACATTTCCTAATTGTAACATGATATGACTGTAGAAGATTTTTCTTTTTATTCAATATTCCCTGAGCTTAACAGTTAAAAAAGGAACCTTGCATAGGTGTCATATTAAAACAATGATAAACTCATCAGGTATTTTAATGTGTCAATTAATAAATAACAAAGTTATTTTCATTTATTAACATATTTGGGATTTACTATTTTCACTAAACATGTAAATCTAAATCCCAAGAGTAGATACATATTTACACAATATTCTTGATAACAAACAGGTCTTTAAAAAAAATTCTGTTCATTATAAAATAACTCAAATTCAAAACAATATTGCAAACAGGAGGAGAGAATGGATAGAAAGAAAATAAAAATAATCAGATCAAATAAAAAAATGCACATTTCTGAACCTTTAAAATGTCAAATTAGGATATTTCCACTATTTTCTTTTGAGCGTAGGATCATACACAACGTTCAATCTCAGTTTCACCTCATTGCAGAAGGTATTGCGCAGGTCCTGCTCTGCAGCTTGTGCAATAGGGATAACACTCTTGCCACCACTGCCTATGATGAGCCGGGCAAGACCTTTTCTCTTGCACCCAATCTGAACTGTGATGTACAGGATCTCTGATGGCAGATAAGGATAACATAATTTGGCATATAATGAAGAACTACTGCCTAATGCAATAATAGTGTTGACTTATAATGGATAATATTCACAATGTATAAAACAGGGGGGGGGGTAAATAGTGTATAAAAAGAATGGAGCACTAGAGGCATTGGAAAAAAACAGGAGAGATGAGAAAGAAGCATAAAACTCATTTCATTTTAAAACCTTCCTTTGACAACATACCTTCTTCTGAGAGGTCCCAATGCTCTATTGTGAACTTGAGGTTATAGGGGATTTCATTCTTGAAAGCATCGAGGAACTTTTCTCTTATTGTCATCAAGGCAATATCTTGGGGGTTTTGGTCTGTCAACATCTGTTGGGAGATTTCAAAGAGTTCATTACATTTATTTTTTACATGGTGTTGAACTACTTTATTTTTTTCTACTCTAAGATATAAAAGGAGCAAATATTCAGTGTATAATGCTTAAAAGGCAACATACATATTAAGTAACATTCATAATTTTACACTGTGATACAAAAAGGTTTTATACTATTACTTCCCTGAGAATTGAAGATCCATGGAGCTTCATAGGCCTTGTAATAGAAGAAATCCTTCAAGTCGTCCACCCCCAGGCTAGAAAGGGCAGATATCATGAAGACTTCCTGGAACAAGGGCCACCCAGTCCGGTTCTCAATGAAGGCATTAATTTCCTGTTCTGTCAATCTAACTTTTCCTTCCAGAATGTCCTGCTCACTTATCTGACTGATATCTCTTGGCAGACCAATCTGACCAGTATTTTCATTTTTTTTTTCAAGTTTGTCCTCTGTGCTTGTTTCTCTACTCTGCAGTGTTTTCTTGGCTTTTCTCAAAAATTTCTCCTTATTGAGTGGAACATCTTTCTTCTTCTCTACATGTGACCTGTTGCCACCTACAATGCCTTCTGTAACAATTCGTGTTACATCTAGCAAGCGCTGTTTATGTTTGACTAGATCAACCTGAAAAGATAAAAAACAAGCTTCAAATGTAATTTATGCATCATTTTCATTAACTTTGTAATTAGACCCACCAAAGAAAAAATCTCTGATCATAAAAAAAGGCCATAATAATAGATAATAAACTTCAAACTGAGAGAATAACAATATTGCAGCAGATTTATTAATCCTATACATAACTAAATTAGAAAATAAAAATAATCAGATCAAATAAAAAAATGCACATTTCTGAACCTTTAAAATGTCAAATTAGGATATTTCCACTATTTTCTTTTGAGCGTAGGATCATACACAACGTTCAATCTCAGTTTCACCTCATTGCAGAAGGTATTGCGCAGGTCCTGCTCTGCAGCTTGTGCAATAGGGATAACACTCTTGCCACCACTGCCTATGATGAGCCGGGCAAGACCTTTTCTCTTGCACCCAATCTGAACTGTGATGTACAGGATCTCTGATGGCAGATAAGGATAACATAATTTGGCATATAATGAAGAACTACTGCCTAATGCAATAATAGTGTTGACTTATAATGGATAATATTCACAATGTATAAAACAGGGGGGGGGGGTAAATAGTGTATAAAAAGAATGGAGCACTAGAGGCATTGGGAAAAAAACAGGAGAGATGAGAAAGAAGCATAAAACTCATTTCATTTTAAAACCTTCCTTTGACAACATACCTTCTTCTGAGAGGTCCCAATGCTCTATTGTGAACTTGAGGTTATAGGGGATTTCATTCTTGAAAGCATCGAGGAACTTTTCTCTTATTGTCATCAAGGCAATATCTTGGGGGTTTTGGTCTGTCAACATCTGTTGGGAGATTTCAAAGAGTTCATTACATTTATTTTTTACATGGTGTTGAACTACTTTATTTTTTTCTACTCTAAGATATAAAAGGAGCAAATATTCAGTGTAAATGCTTAAAAGGCAACATACATATTAAGTAACATTCATAATTTTACACTGTGATACAAAAAGGTTTTATACTATTACTTCCCTGAGAATTGAAGATCCATGGAGCTTCATAGGCCTTGTAATAGAAGAAATCCTTCAAGTCGTCCACCCCCAGGCTAGAAAGGGCAGATATCATGAAGACTTCCTGGAACAAGGGCCACCCAGTCCGGTTCTCAATGAAGGCATTAATTTCCTGTTCTGTCAATCTAACTTTTCCTTCCAGAATGTCCTGCTCACTTATCTGACTGATATCTCTTGGCAGACCAATCTGACCAGTATTTTCATTTTTTTTTTCAAGTTTGTCCTCTGTGCTTGTTTCTCTACTCTGCAGTGTTTTCTTGGCTTTTCTCAAAAATTTCTCCTTATTGAGTGGAACATCTTTCTTCTTCTCTACATGTGACCTGTTGCCACCTACAATGCCTTCTGTAACAATTCGTGTTACATCTAGCAAGCGCTGTTTATGTTTGACTAGATCAACCTGAAAAGATAAAAAACAAGCTTCAAATGTAATTTATGCATCATTTTCATTAACTTTGTAATTAGACCCACCATAGAAAAAATCTCTGATCATAAAAAAAAGGCCATAATAATAGATAATAAACTTCAAACTGAGAGAATAACAATATTACAGCAGATTTATTAATCCTATACATAACTAAATTAGAAAATAAAATTAAGAGAAGATCAAAGATAGAATTAAGAATAAACTACAGAGCTATTTGAAATAATTATAGTACACAGGGTAAAGTGCAGTGATACAGTATTGCAAGAGATAGCAAAAGATGAGATTTAATGGTTTGTTTAAGACAGTGGTTCCGAACTGGTTGTTGCAGAGGCTTAGTAGTGGAATTTAAATCCGTGGGGAAAAGATATTGGAGACCAATTGATCTACGACCTTCATCTATATTCATATTTAGAGTATACTACAAAATCATGTCTTCAAGACATAATATATTACAATTAGGCATATAAAGCTTGTACATATTACTGAATATTTTTTCTCTCACTCCAGGTATCAGAGCTTTGAGAAAGGGGTCATGAGTGAAGAAAGGTTAGGGAACCACTAGTTTGGGGAAAAAAAGTAGGTTCAAGAGATATGAGATACAAGATAGTATGATTTGATTAAGAAGTATGATGAAAATTCAAGCAATGAGGAGTAAATTAAGACAAAGCATAAAGAGTTAGGTTAAATCTATGCAGTATGATCTGATGTTGAGCTAAGCTGAATGAATAGGATGAATTAAGAAAGTTTAGGCTTCTATTCACTACAGAAAGTAAACTAAGCTTATGAATGTATAGAAGTTACAATTAATCCATTAGAAATACAATTTCTCTGCACCACACCATGCCATGCTCCAGGCTTCATGTATGGTCAGCCACTCGTGCAAAAAAATAGTGGTGTGGGAGACATACATTTCACCTGCTCTCTATGACCTTAACTACATTACACATGAAGGTTTAGGAAATTATGTTAAAAAAGAGGGTTTAAGTCTATTTCTATTGTAATGTTTCTCCTCAATGACCACAGTCACTGTTTTGTGAGGAAGTTCAGCCCTGCATGATGTGATAGGATGAGTGATGAGTTTGCCATAATATGAAAAGATTTGATATGTCACAGGTGGGTTCAGACTATGATGAAGTAAGGTATTGTTTAATAAGTTTATACATATCCCTTATCTGAACAAGATATTTTTGAGCAAAGTAAACAAATAACAAACAGGTAGCAATTCATACTATTAAATGAAATGAAAGACACTAAAATTAAGGTTTAATAAACAAATTACCTTGTTTAAGATTAAAATACTTGGTGTTGTGGGATATAGTGCTAAAAGCCGCAATACTCTGGGATGCAAACTATTGCAGGTATACTTGTTGGACACATCATGGATCACTGCCATCACATCAGCTTCATGAAGTGATATTTCTGCCTCTCTTAATAAAGAACGATTGAGACTGTGCCTGTTAAAACAAGAGAGAACCATAAATTCAAAATCAACTTATATATCTCTGAATATTTAAATTTGTGCTTTACTCAGTGAAAGAAAAGAAATTAAAGTCCCTCACTTGCTGACTTCCTGTGGGGTGACTAAGCCTGGAGTGTCCAAGAACACCATCTGGGTTGACTCTACATTGTGCACAGCCCGGGCACTGACTTCAGTTGTGTGAACTTTAGATGAAACACTGCATACCTGAAGTAATAATGTGAGACACATTGTATACATGAAGAGAATAAAGCAAGAAGAGTGCAAAGTCACCCTATATAGAAAATGAAAAACTGAAACAAACAATGAACATGTCTGATCAATAACAACTACATTACAAAAATATATAAAGACATGAGTAAAAAAATACCAGTTCTGTAAAATGATATAATATAAAATAAGATGAGAGGTAGATATGATAAATCAAAGGTGAGATCAGGATAGACAGACAAGTATGGTATATTAAGTACAGTGATATATTTCAGTACAGAATCAGTAAATATTGGTATTTCATTAAAAACGATGACCATATATAAAGACAACAAACACTGCTTTCACTCACTTTCCTGCCAACGAGACTGTTGATAAGAGTGCTTTTGCCACAGTTGGGCACACCCACGATAGCTATTTTCAGAAGACGTGAATTGGGAGGTGAATCTACCCTTTCTCCCAGCATTAAGCTCATCTCGTCCATAGTGCGAGGAATGCCTCTCTTGTACATTGCATCCCACACATTTTCATTTCCTAGAATGAATTTCTTATCAATATTTGTAACTTAATCTATAAAGGGGGATTACCATATACTGAATTTTTTCTCTCATAAATTGTTGGGTTCCTGAAAGATTCATCCAAAGTAACTTTCACTTCTCCTAATGTCTCCACACAAAGGAGTCAATTTGTAGTCTTTGTGACCTCAAATAACTTACCTTTCCTTGAGTTTGAGGGATTTTTTTAAAAACTTATACTATCAATATTGATGCTGTTTTTTATCATTATAATTATCATAATGCTTTTGACATTATTAACAGCAATATAAGATACCAGAAAATATTTCCAAAAATGATGGAAAAAGGTAAACAGGTGAGATGAGTAGTACTAGGGTAGTAAATGAAATGTATCTACTACACGACTAGTCTATATCTCTTTATGGAATGATTGAGTGGGTGTGAGTCCCCACTGTTATGGATGGGTGCTGTAGGTGACGTGAAGTTGTATGGGGGGCTGGTAATGAACTGCTGCTTGGTTGAGGAGCTTTGGAAGATGATCTGTTGATGGTCTCAAGTCTGGATCCAAAGTTTAAGTACTCAGGAGCTGTTGTAGCAAATCAGGAATGAGGGGAGCCTGCTGTCCAATCAGAGAGTCACAAGGTGTCAAGTGCCAACCAGTCAGGTGTCGGCTATAAGTTGTGAGAGGCGCCCGCTGGTGAGAGAGTGAGGACAAGGCTTTTGGATCTGGTGTGACCCAACCTTGGAAGTATGTGGTACTGAGTTGTACAGGTTGCAGGTCGTGTCTGCTACAGGTAATCACCCTCTAGTGAGTGAACTAAATGAGTGAGAGCAAAGCGAAATGTTTCATTCCTGGCTCAATAGTGTGGTAGAATGGTGGTATCTGCTACATGACTGGTCTTAGTGCTATCTTTAGGGAGTGACTGAGTGGGTGTTTGTGCACACTGTTATGGCTGGGCCCTGTAGGTGAAGTAGGGTTCTACAGAAGAGCTGTAGAAACTCCCCAGTGTTGCTGCTGCTTGGCTGAGGTATGCTGGAATTGTGAGTTGATGATCTTGGTTCCGGATACTGAAGCTTAAGAGATTGAAATCCAACTTCATTAACTATGAGCGGATATTTTTCATCTCTTTTATAGGCTATTAACCTCTATGCTGGTGAGAGAGTGAGGACAAGGCTGTTGAACCTGGTGTGACCCAACCTACAAAGTATGCAGAACTGAGTTGTGCAGGTTGTGGGTTGTGGCTGCTACACTAGCAATTAGCTAATTTGTGATTTGGTACTTGTGGAGCCACATATGAGTAAAGACAATTAATAAACTTACTGGACATGGTATGTATATATATTCCATGGGGGAGACATCTAGTTAACTTTCACAAAATCAACTGGTTCAATGAGACATTAAGACCTGATGGTTTTGTAAAACATCTTTACAAAAAATATTAATAAAAAGCAATCTTACACCTGATGCTCAGTGAATCAGCTGCTCAAGGAAAAATGGATTCCCACTACTACTGTTAGCATAAAAAAACTAATAGTAACATACAAAAACATTTATTCTATTGATGTTCTAAGATAATTTTCCATACATTCTAAATAAAAACTGACAATGAAATAGAGAAATTGGTGGTGTCTCACCTGAAGGTAATGAAGATCGGGCAACAGCATTGAAACGATGGAAACTTCTTACACAAAAGTGCCACATGGTTCTTGGCATTACCATTTTCAGTGGGAGTTTGTGTTTGTTCTTGAAGATATTCCCTGCAGAAATAGCAAAATCAATACTACTATGATGAAATGGCAAAAATTACAGCATATATAGTTTTGGATTTTTTTATTTTACACACAGCCATCTGATCTTGCAATTATTACTCCTTTTTTCAATTATCAACACTATAATATACATAAATCTCTTGTTATTTTCCATCACAAATGATATAAATGAAAGTATTGGCAATGTTTATGAAGTGATCGCACCCTACTGGGATAAAGTCCCTTTTACTCTAGCTAATTTTGTGACCTATTTTTTCAGTTCTTATGCTATTTTTTGCCTACATATACTATTTTATGTATTAGTGGGTGTAGTTTTTCTCTTTGATTGATACAGTGCCATTATATTTTCCTATAAATGTATACCAAAGTATTATAACTTTAGAAGGTAGTGCCATAGATGAAAAGTGTCTTGTTTTCAGTCTCTGTATAATACAGGCAAATTTGACGTTGTACTACCAGGCTGTGGGAAACTGTATTTCACCCATAATCAGCACAATCAACAGACATATGCATTCCCAGGGGGTGTTGTGGGGTTAGAACCCCCCATCATCCCTCCCTTTGAGCAGTGCCCAGTCACAGCAACTTAGATTGTTAATACATTTTGTGACATTGAGTTGGGGAGTTAGTGTCTGGCAAGTGCAACTGTACTGTAAAGAATTACCATATACCTTGGACTAGAGAGGACCAGAAGTTAGAAAAGTTTTCAATATAATTCACATGAACTTTAACACTATAGCCCATTTCTATATCATATAACATTGTTATCTTTTCTTTGGAAAAGAATTATATAAAACATGAATTTCCTAATTTACTCTGCTCTGTTGTTTCTATACTGATCATATTTAATAGGGGTTTGCTTGTCTTTAACCCCTTGGTGATGGGTTAAGAAAACTAAAAAAAAACTCTGGCGATCAATGGCAGCACGCCAACTTTGAGCACGGGAGTTCAGTACATCAAGATGAATCACCGGCTTGCTGCGCTTTGGGGCACTGCTGCGGTGTACATACATTTCGAGCAGTTTGTTTTCATGTCTATAGGTGTGACCCGTTGGGAAGGGGTTAATGGAACACCAAGGGCACAGGAGCCACAAGCAATCTCACAGCTTCATCTCTGGTGGATGTTGTCATTCATGTATGTTTAAGAATAAACAACTACCCAAATACCAGAAATATATGTAACAACAGCAGAAACCATTCTTGTGAATAATACTACATTTGAATCTCCTTGTCCAACAAGTTGGCCAAAATGGATGAGATGTTTTGACCCTTCAGAGCCCCTACTTTGGCGTCCAGGGCAATTTGTAGATAAGCAATGACAGTTGCAGGCAGCCATAAGATATTGGTAGGCCTTTATCACAGGGTATTTTTGTGTTTGTCATTTGCAGGTAAGCTAAATATGCATCAGAGGAGTTACAAAACCTATGCAGCCTGTAAAATAAAGACACAGGTATGATAAAATGTTTATTTTCGAGCTAGTTGCACTGTAGACAAAGAAGGCCTTGTTATCCTGCTGGCTCTGACAAGTGTAGACGAGCAAGACAAGGAATTCCAATCGCAGCAAAAATATCAAGACTGACATGAAAACCATGACACAGGACAAAAGGGTTTGGACATGAATGAAGCCCCGGCTTTGACTTGCTACTAGCTTATTATTTTGGAGTAATGAAAGTAACACGTTCCCTTTTGGCTGAAAATAAATTCTAATATATACTACGTACACCCACAAACATCACCACGTAGCTTATTATTCAGGTAAAACATCTATTTCATTAAAACATGCCGCTTCACTTACGGCAGAAACCACTTCGGCGTGCTTTGTTTACATGGAGGTGGCGTTCGCGTAGGGCCGCCCGGATTCATGGGGGCGTTTTTGTAGGCCATTACGTAGCCTAAATATATAACCTATTATCGCTCACAGTGATATTGTATTATCTTATTACTGTTACATTATCATTCCATAATGTCATGTAATAGATATCAATCACAGACATGAATATCAATCCAATGGTCCAATGCAACGTGATATTCGGTGGAAAAAGATGAGATTGTAAGTCGTGATTATATTGATTAATACTGGTGTGTTTTAAACTAACTTTATGCAGATTAAAATCATGTTTATAAACGTATTTGTCTGTCTGTTGCTGTCAATGGCTCTTCCTCTCTCTCTCTCTCTCTCTCTCTCTGTGCATGCGTGTGTGTGTGTGTGTGATTGAGTCTGCCCCCCCCCCCCCTCTCTCTCTTTCTAATGCTGACTATATTTCAACTATCCAACTAATCATGTATGATCCATAAGATTCGTGGGTAACTGACTATAGTGTGAATTGGAGCCTCTTCTGACTCGGTCATCGTGGTGTCGGGCCACGGCACAGACGAGGATATTGACCATTAGAACTTTTGGTGACTTTGCAAAACACTTCTAGAAAGGGAATTATCACTTCACTTTCCTCACTGTGCAACCTAATCTTTACAACAGGTTATAATAATATTCAATTTATATAAATATAAAATTGGTTACTTCTTTATCTCTCTTCGTCCCATCCCTGCAGAAATTAGTGTCGCTCCATTCTCACCATGCCAGGTCACCAAAAAGCATGGAGTGAACAACACAGACCAGTGATCTACACACTTTGAAATGGTGCAATCAGTTTAGATTGCTTTCCCCTCTCTTCATTGCCAATGATGGAATAGAGCTTGAAATGATGACTGGAGTGGGTGAGAATTGCAAGGCTGTATTTACTGTCTCTTACTGCATTACATTAGTAACAAAGATAAAAAAAAAAAAATGTTGGGAAAAACAAGCACATATATGATTATTAGAAGTTTATTTTGTTTAGTTGTTTAATACATGCTATTTATTTTTCCTTTCAGTATGCTTGTAAAGAAAGTATTATAATTTAAGGCCTCAGGCGGCTTTGATCGACATTATACACAAATAATATCCTGTACAATGTTTATGAAGACTGGACACACTTAGTGGTACCCTACATACAGATCTGCAATGCGAAGATCATGCTTTATCGTAGAAGGAAGAACAGGAGGAACAAGAGTATGAAGTTTGTACAGATTTGTTTGTCACGTTAGAAATAACTACCAAAATCAGATGAATCTTGCAGCTCTTTAAAGTTTGAATATAGTTTAAAGAAGTTTCAACAAACACAAATGGAGGAGAGAACATATACTGTGAAGGTGCAGCACTGCTACACTCATAATCTAAGTCTATGAAGATTTCTTTTTCTGAAGTATAGTTTACTGATAGAAGTACACATTACTATGGCTTCTTCTATTCTAAGCTGTCAGCAAAGGTTCCATTCTTATATTATTGATGAAATATGCCTCATACCTGATGCATACTGTAATACAGTAAATGGGATAATATGAAGTCAGTTCACTGATATCCGATGATCTCCATAAAAATACTTTTTTGATGACACTACTTCTATGGGCAAATAATTGAAAAAAAAAAAATGTTTCTTTCAGATTTTTTCCAGCTCTTCTTTGTACTGGTCTCCCACCTAAACACCAGTACCACAACAAATAATCATAATAATCCTTCTGAAAGAATCCAGCAAAAACCCTCCAGAAATACATAATCACTTATGATCTGATAGGATCAGCTTGGAAGTTTGTTACAATATAAATCTTGAAAGTTATGTTTAATGGTAGAGGATTGCCATTAGAGGAAGGCCTCTCTTCTAATGTTTCTCACTTCAGAATTGTGCTACATGTAAGATATACTAAAAATTATTTGAAATTAAGTATTTCCTCTGTGTAACTCTTAATTTTCTGGATATATATCTTTTTCATTTTATCAATGGAAAGAGCAATAACAGAATTTTCCTTTCTTGATCCTACATTCATTTAACACTAATCAATCAAAGTATGAAATAAAGGTAGTAAATACAATTATTGAAACTTACCAGTAAAATATATCACAAGTAAAGCAAGTATTTACCTTACAGCTGATTTGTTTTTAAATTATTTCTTATTACATGTTCACATAAAGAAAATTCTTTACTTTTTCAAAATTCAGCAATACTGGCTAAACCTTTCTAAAAAAGGTAATGCCCAAACAACCTTTATTCACTAATCTAGCATAACACAGTTCCAAAATAACAACTATATTTTTTCATGAGAATCACTTATAGCACCAGATATGAGTTTATTATGATAATTAAAAATAATTAAGATGTTGCACATCAAAATGTTTACTGCCAATTGCATGATGTTATGCTAAACTACTTACTACAGATTTAAACATTGAAAACTTTGTCTGGAGAAGAGCAGGAATCATTTTATATAAAAGCAGCAACCTTCTGTATTCTGTATAAATTAATAGTTATTCTATTGACATTCAATTGTTGTTGCCTCATTTTGATTTTTATAATAAGTGGACAGACATATCCAAATATTCTATTTCTTCTCATGCTATCAAAATATTTGACACTGTATAAAAGCTACTGAGTAGTGCCTTTGAGCAAGACCTTTCAAAGCCATTGTTAGAAGCAAGGCACAACAATAGAGTGGCTTTCCAAAAAGTAAATGCAAGATGAGCAACTTCAATATCATGAACACCTTACACACAACAGGTTATGTAATTTTACATAAATCCTACTGGTAAACACAGGAATCATGACTGAATGAAGTGACTTCACTTCACTTCAGAATGACATTTAATAGAAGGGAACTTGAGAAAGAATTCCTTTTACATGACAAGATGATGAAGACTACATCGCATTTATCTTCTATCCAAGGTTACCTACAAAAATGGCATTATGCAGCCTTGTATGAATAATCCTTAGCTAAAACTACCATCTTCAGACAAGTACACTTCAGATGGTTAGACAAAGTACATCAATGATAATGATATTTGCAGTATAAATCTTTAAAGGGAATATAGACATAAAAACTATAAGAGAAACAACATGGCAAAATTTATTAGTGAAATGACACATAATACAAAGAATAAAAAACAAAAAAAAGGAGAGAGAGAGAGAAAGAAAATTATATTGTAAAACATAATAAACAGGACTGGACATATGAAATACAGATAATTTGTGAACTTAAGTAGAAAATATTACATTTGGAATCTGCAAAAATAGTACGGGGGTATGTGAGTTAAGTTCAAGCTTACAAGAGGCAAAAGCATTGAATGTGAAATTACTAATATTGAGTGCTAAATATAAGCTAGAATTTCATCTACTCTAATACTGCCATTTATTCTCTTGCATCAATCTCTCAACTGAGAGATGGAATGGGAAAATTAGTTTGGTTAACCCCTGTGGAAGTAGTTTGGTCTATTGATTTATGGAAAAATCACTGATTTCAAATGTTTTCCAAAACTGGCTTATGTGCCCCATTGTGGAACTGTGAACAACTTAAAGTGATGAATATTCCATGATGCTGGACTCTCTTCTCCAAGTACTACTGGGATGTAGAGTTTTCATACACTCCCAGGGGGCGAATAGGTTAACCGATTTGAGATGGGATGTTCAAAAATGTCATTCATGGTCCAGGTTACTAAATTTATATCTAACTATCCTTTAGGGGTTAATAAAATTGGCTTGTTGAGTAGACAGGTCTTTTAAAACTTGGGATATGGGAATATTGATTCAGATAAAGAGTTCTTGGTATTGAACAAGTTGGCAACCATAACTTTGAATATATGCTCATTTATTTTTGCTGCTATATGACCTCATATGAAATATTTATTTATTTAGTAAAGGGAAATTGTGACTTACTTGCGTAATGGTAGATATGTAAATGCAATTATTGGTATATTGAGATATATTAAACTGTAAAAAGGAACATTTTAAATGTAGATATCACATGCTTAGATATTTGAAGTTTAAAAAAAAGTCATTACCAATACAGAAAAAGCAATTTGTACTGGTTATCAAAACAATCACTCATACACACTGTTGACCATATTAGTTTAAAAAGTATATTGTAAAAAATTAAACTAAAAAAACTTACTTTTCCCAGAAACTTGCTACTTCATAAAAGAATGTGACTTGTAAATTATTATTTTTTGTCCATAACCATTTGGTAACTTAGGAAAAAGAGAAATAAAGTAAAACTGACACAATACAATTTGTAATTATTCTTAAAGTATTTTTTTTTCTTTTGATATAAAAGCAGTATCTAAAATAAAAGTTGTCCTCATCCAGAGTAAAGCGACTGACAGTCTCAAAGAATAAAATTATGTGGCAGCTTTTCGACTAAAGATTTTTCATCTATGAAGGTTTCAGTACCATTTTTGGTCATACCAGAAGACCACAAATGCAACCTTATGTACTATTTGGAAAAATAACAAGCTTAATAATATTGGTTCTCAGAAAAAATCTGACTATAAAAAGTACTTAAGTATTAGTATCAATCATACTCAAGGCCTGCAGAGCTATTTTTTCTGTATCAAAATGAAGCAGAACAGTAATTCAATACAAAAATATTACAGTATATGGAGAACTCATTGGAAGATATATTCAATTTCATGAATATTTAAATTTCTTTCTTATCATTCAGCAAAGAAAGGCAATTGTCAGATCATTAGAACTAAAGGCAATTGTCAGATTATAAGAACTACAAACCAAATCAAATGTAAATACTACATTCTTTGGGTAATTCTTTCAGCCTAAGACAAAATTTAAGATCTGAAAAGATGCTAATCAGCTGAAATAAAGCATTTACTTGTGACAAATATTTCATTTGATAAGCTTTCTACATAGCTTAAAGGCATAAAATTTATGCTTGGCCTAGAGAAATCTATTAATTCCTATTGAGTGGTGGGGTAATGGAGATTTTACACAATTATATTAACCCACTGCTGTCAGGAACATGTAATGTTCATTGTAGTTTTGTTTTGTGAAATGTATTTACACACAGCTGGCTCCACAATTGCTTAACCACCAAGGAGTTAATGTACAGGCTATCCCTGTTGACAATGGGTTAATATTATCTATGGCACAATTTTTTTCTATTTCAAAAATTAATTTCAGAATTGTGACATTCAAGGCTGAACATGCACATGCACAGTAAACTGGGAATAACTGAACTTGAGTGATCACTGCTTATATATACCACAAATAATAACTTGAATGGAAGTGAGAGAAATGATAGGAAACCTACTTGAAAATCCAGAAACTATAATTGGAGTTCAGTGATTATTGTTGTTCATAGATACTTTAGCTATGAATCAACCTCTGAGATGAAGGAAAGCATGGAAACATCATGGGATTACAAAACAATAAACTTAAAAGGAACAGAAGGGATAGGAAACAATACAGTCATAGAGGGAGAAGAGGCTAGTGTAGATAGTGATGAGGGAATGAGGCCTATTCTGCATATAACTGAGCTGAATCACTTGTGACCCCTTCCTCTCAGCTGCCTGGAGTCCCAAACTGCTTCACTTTCTGCCACTTTTCCTTGGTATTTGTTTGAAAATGCCTATGGGAAATCATAATGCCACCCTCTCCTCCAACTTTACTCTGAAAGCTTACCTCACACACCTGAATATTTAAACAAGATAAAGCCAGTGATCTCTCATTTCAGTGCCACAATCAAGCTATGTAAATGCCATTCCATGGATTCTGAAAAAGGGGGGGGGGATAAAAATATAGGTTTATAATTTCACATCATGAGTCACTCAATTGTAATTTTCTTCAAATTTTGTATCCATTTAGAATATTCTTTACTCCAAGGTATTAAAAATTCAGTCTCTTATAAAAAAGTTAAATAATTATACATACTTATATATTTTTTTTTGTTTAGAATGTGAGTATTCTTTATCACCTCCAATTGTGTCAGTTACATATTGAGAGTATATTCCTTACCTATAATATTGTCATGATAATTCTCACATTGATATAAATAAATTTTCCTTTTAGTATTTAAAAAAATAAACACTACTCATCAATACCAGTATATACATTTTATATACATAAAAACAGCTCATAAACTAAGGCAAATATAAACACTAACATTGTGAACATGAGTTGTATCTTCTCTTGAAGAAAATTGTATGCATGAACTGACACAGACACACACACAGGCATCCATAGACACACTTCCTACATATTCATTCACAATTGAGCACATCCATGAATGAAAAAATACAAATCTTTAAGCAATACACATCTAGAGCAAATCAACAAGGTCCCAAGTGGCAAGATTTGGAGTGGAACACATTGCCATCAACACAGGTGCTCCCAAGCGACTGTCTTGGGCGGCTACACACAAGCCAAGAGCCATGTTATACAGAGCAACACCCATCTGAAAGGAAATGCAACGCAGCATGTTTAATACCTCTTCCTTTATATGGTCTATGTATAAATATGAACATATGTTATCTCACAGAAAATATTTCCAAAAGCATTAAAAGAGGAGGATGAATAAGATGTAGAGGAGGAGAAGGGGCAAGAAGAAAGTGAAGAGGAGGAGGAAGGAGGAAGAACATGGAGATGGAGGAGGTTTAGGAGGACAACAACAATACTAAGGAGGATGAAAAGAGGGAGGAGAGGAAAGACCAACAAAAAATACAATAATGTGTAGGATAAAAAGATCAGGAACAGGAAGAATGGAAAATGTTAAAAATACATACATAAACAAATAAATGTATAAATAAATATATAAAGTCTGACACACATGAAACTGTAAAAACGAGAAAGAAATAAAGGAAAAACAGAATGTCAAAACATTGTCCTGCAAAATTTTCTTATGCACATCAACATTTTATTAATCAGAACCACTTCAAATAAGTGGGAATGATGCCTCATCCAGCCTTTCTACACACCTGATTGGAGATCTTCCACTCCTGGGCTCCTCCCATTTCATGGCACTTGCCAATTTTAGGCCTATTATCAGAGGCCTCGAGGCACAGCAGCTGTGCAAGAACAAGCTCATCTCGGTCTGTCTGGTGAAATATCTGACGATTCCAATCTGAACACTTGGACAGTACTAACAATGAACCCTTCCGTGAAACATCTTCCTCAGACTCTATGCACAAGTTCGTTCCTGTTAAACGGATCTAAGAGGGAAAGTAAAGGAAATGCTTTCACTGTAAATTTGCTGTATCCTGTACAGTCATGCACACTACATGTAGTCAGACACAAAAGCAAATATATATATTACAATACACAAATTAATATATATCCTAACTGGAAGTTCAATACACTATCTCACATAAACTCATCATCATTTGGCTCACCTGCCACTTGTGTGTATAATTCCTCACTCGTTTATTCCATGGCTGGTATGGCCGTACTCCTGCTTTGTCCATTTTGGCATTTTTGCTCTCCTCTCCTGGAGGCCCAAGTTCTGGGTACACATTCTTCAGGTACCATGAAAAGGATTTACACTGAAGGTCTTCTCTCAGCTTCTTTCTGCTTGAAACATCTCCATAGTCCATTTTCTCTGCTCCAGGACGAACTTTGAAAAAGTTCTCCTACACAAGCAATGATCATGGTTAGAAAAAGAAGAGGTAGAATAAAAGTAATCTTGGAGTGGATACATAAATATGGTGTATCAAATCAAATAATGATAAAATATGGATTCATATGATTTCCAAGTAAGAAATATCACAACAATCACTGAACATTTAAGTTGATTAACATGAGAACTCATTAAAAGCACATCTTAAACAATTAATATCCATTAGCCCCCACACTATTCCTTACATTTTCATTACAGTAAATCAATTCCAATTTCAAAAACATTTTATATGATTCCTTAACCTATGCATGAAAACAGGTCCTACTTCATTGACTAGAAACTTGCCAGACTTCCAACAACCAGGCAATATTTCCCTCACCTTGTAGTCATCTAGCCACACATGGGCAACCCTCAGTGAGTTGCGCATCAAGGAATCTTGGCCACCTGGGCCTCCATACGGGCGTCGTCGACGGAAAATGTGACCAACACGAGAGCAAGGCATGATCTCTAGCTCACCTCCACACATCCAAACCTTCAAAGGAATGCAGTGTTAGTGCTCTGGTTTGTATGTGAAGATATGAGGCAAGATAATAAAAAATAGTGATAAATATGTAAATATCTAAAATGTACATTACTCTTTCAACACTGGATACTACATTTCTAGATACTGCTGGATATAGTAGCTGGCCTAAAGAGTTAACCTACTGGTATATACACTGTCCACTTAAATTTTTGTATTATGAATTTTGTTAACACACAAATAAGTCCACAAGTGCTTAGTCACTTGGGAGTCAACTGGTAGGACTGCCTGATCTCACATGACAACCTATTCCTTGAATTTTCATTAAAAAATGAGGAGGGAGAGAGGGAAGAGGGAAGCAAAAGGATCTCAAGCTATGAGATATGATACGTAGATAAAATAATGGTCAGACAAAAATAATATTATCAACTAGTGAGAAATCCTTGGGAAAAGAAAAATAATAAAAAGTACTCCTCTCTCCCTCTTTCTACCTTTTGCTTCCCCTCTCCCTTTGCCATTCCCTCTCCTGGCATTCCCATATCTTCCTTAAACTCACTCCTCCCCTCCCACATTATGCACCCTCCTACTTCCCTCTACTTCCTCCTTAAATTCCCCCATCTCCTTTGCTTCTTTATCTCCTTCCTTCCCTCTCCCATCCCCCCTTTTTTCTTTTTTCATCCCTTTTGTTTCCCCTTCTTCATCTCTCTTTTCACTACTTCAATGCATGGTAATAATAATATCATTGTAATGGTAATAATAACAATAATAATAGCAGTAATAACAATAATAACAGAGTTAGAATATATGTTATGACAGCATCATTTTATAATTCTGCTAGAGTTTCGTTCATTTGTCTGTCCCCACATTATACTTTCAGGGAAATTTTGATGTAAATGGGCATCTTATGCCTGGAATCATATTCCATAAGACAGTAGCCTTGAAGTCAATTAATTGTAAGTGTAAAATGGGGGAGATGTTTGACAACATACATATTAACATGAAGCTGCCTGGAATGGCATCTATGTTCAAGCCACTATAAGTTCAGTTTATTACTTATATTTATACATAGATGGCTCTACAATGACTGAGTCACCAAATGAGCCAATTACTAGTTGAATTATTTCCACTAATTTTATATTACTATTAGTTGAGTCAATAATATTATAACAATTATAATGCCTATTATAATAATTAAAGCATCAATATTGATGGCATTAGTAAAATAAACTTTTTTCTCAAAGAAAGGAAAGGAGAAATTAGTTGAGTTTAAAATGTCTACAGACTGACTCCTTGGTGGCTGAGTCCTAGATTTACATGTCATATTGTTATATCTCAAGAGTATTGAACTGTACAGAAAGTCCCCAACTTATGAACATAATGGGGACTGAGAGGCTGTTCGTAACTCCATTTGTTTGTATATCCAATGTTGGGTCTCCATTGCCTTTTTTCCCATTATTTTAAAGTTTTGTTTACATTAAGAATACCTGAACATAAATCCCAATCAGTATTTTTGATGGATTGATGCACAGGTAAAGCGAATTATGTCACAAAAATTGGCGGTACACGAGGACACAGTGAACAGATGCTTTTGTGTTTATGGCGGGAGGGCAGGCGACTGAGGCGAGTGATGCGCACAGCTGAGTGATGCGCACAGCTGAGTGAGTGCGGCAAACTCGTGAACTATATTCATGGCCGGGAAATTTGAAGTTTGCTAGCATCTTTCAAACAATTTTTTGGACTTAAGTATTTTTTAAAATTTGTTCATATGTATAGAATGTTCATAAGTAGAACGTTCGTAAGAAGGGGACTTACTGTATTTCTTATGTAGTTTTTCCCTCTTGTGTTTCACACTGAAGAGAAAACGACTGAATGGTAATACCAGCATTGTTGACACAATATGATTTCAGCCACTTACTATATTAATATATATCTGTAATGTTAAAACCTAATCTTAGCCAAACAATGGCTTTATTTGGCTACCATGGAATGTTACAGGATAAAATTTAGTGAAGAGCATTAGACATGTATGGTCGGAAATACCTCAGACTATACATAATATCTTGGCATCACTGGGTTAAATCACATGTTTCTCTAATAGATGTCTCTAGATGACTGAAATGAACCTCAAGAGGAGACAAGGAGTTTGCTATACTTACCCTAAAAGACATTTCTAAATTCTCTCCACCCCAGACATCCATCCCCATGTCATATTCACCAATCTCCTTAAAGTAGTTACGATCTATGGCAAAGAGCCCACCAGCCATGGTTGGGGACCTGGAGACAGAGAGATTATGATGCTACAGAAAGTCTTATACTTATGAGGACTGTGGCTATGATCCTAAAAGTGCATTCCAAGCTTTCCTTTATGATAAAATATCAATGTTAAATAATTCTGCAGCTCAACAATCCTTACTTATTTGAAAAGCAATACAATAAGTTCTGTTTTTACTCTAATTTTACTCTCATCCACAAGAAAAGTGCCATAAGCATACCCTTAACAACTGAACTACAAAAATCTACTCAAACTTACTTAATGGGCTTTATGAAATTCATCTTGTCCATGAAGTGGCTTGAAGGAATTGTGTCCCACTTGAAGTGAAGGCCCCAGTTGAAGCCTCCACGCACAAGAGGTGAGGCTGTGTACTGGAACAAGAAGAAAGCATGTCAGTTAATAGAGTCTTCCTCCTTCCAGTCTAATACTCATGTATTTAAAAGAGAAGGCCAATGTATATTTGAAGCTCTTTGGTTTAATGTGTGTAACCTTTTCCAACTGAAGAGTTGTACTTTAGGATTATAAAAGATATTTACAATGAAAATAATATTTCTCAGGTTTTAGACACAAACAGATACATTTTAGTCTGTATCTAGAATGTAATTTCTATAATTTACACACTTGATTTACCGAATGCCTAATTTTCTCTTCATCAAAGTTCACATCACTGTATTGCACTCCATCAGGGCTCTCCTCAGCAAATCTATACATATATCAATACATGGGGGATATGAGCAAATGAGGTTTACTGCTACTGTATCTTACCAATGTTTTGCACTAGGCAAAATTCAATAAAAGTCCACTGAGTAGTAATCCAGTTAATTGAGATTCCACACAAAGTTCATTATCTTGTTTTAGTCTGGACTTTATTAACCCCTTCGATCTGGATGATGTGACCATCACAACATGAAAAAATTTGGTTCAAGGGGTGGCTGACATGAACATACCGTTATTGGAAAATCTGGCTGTAGGTTGGTGAGGCAAACTTGCCTTCGTGAGCATTTTAACTGAAAGTCCAGGTAATGGGAAAGACTCACCATGAGTGCACAAACCTCTTGGGAGAGTGATTAGACTCATTTGGGGATTTTGCATTATTCCCAGCAATAAACAACATTGTATTCATGGCGCCATTACCGGCCCACAGGTAATATTACAGAAAATTGAATACTACAAAAAAAAGACACAAATAACAAAATAATAAGTATTTCTCTTTTTCTTACACTGAGTTGTAGTCTACCGAGAGAGATGATATGGAGTCTATGTCAAAAAAGAAAGTTTATTACCATCTGGATAATGACAATCTTTGCATTATCTTTGCACCACACACAAGTGTTCATATGTACTCAGCCTACAAGCTGTACACCTGGCAGAACAGCTGTTCACATAATCCTAATGCTTTAATCCAATGGGGACGGGTGAAGTAAAAAAAAAAAAAAAAAAAACTTGACATAAATGAACCTAGGGCATACCTGGAATGTGTCTGGAGATATAACATCAATGATTGGTGTCACAACATGGTTGCGATACTCAGTCACTCTGGACAAAAGGGGTTCTATCCAGCCTATGTTCACCTCCACATGACTGTCTAGGAACACCATGATCTGTAATCATAAAGTGGCTATTAAATAATTTTCTGAGAGAGAATGAGAGAAAGAGAAAGAGAGAAAGAGAGAGAGAGAGATACAGATGGCAAGACAGATATTGTACATATGTAAAATCAATGTGGTTTCCATAAAAAAGAGAAGATATGCCTTTACACACACACACACACACACACACACACACACACACACACACACACACACACACACACACACACACAGAGTCTTGCAAACTTGTTTGACTTTTGAACAAAATATTTTCTAAGCTTCTTCATGTTTAATCTCTCCCATGCACACTCACAAAAACATCATAGTTGGATCAAAACCCCTTTGAACTTCACTTGTCCAATGAAATTGAATAAAAGAAGAAAAACAAGATGCAAAAGTAAGAAAAAGAAGATTGCAAAACAGGTTGACCTAAAGGTAAAGTTTATTTGGACACAAAGTTGAACATACTGCATCTTGTGAGCTTTCCACAAAATGCTGTGCTCTTCATAACTAAATGTTGGCCATACTGATCACTTGTAACTCCTTCTTTTAAAAAACTTTCTGTGTACAGATTTATGACACATCTATGCAATTGTCGCACAAGTAATGTCATATATCTGTTGATGTTAATGGATATGTGACTCAGGCTACAAAACACTTTACACAAATATGGATTTTCCAAATGACTTTAAACATGAGATGGATTGTTAAAAAAAACACACTATCTTCTAGATGGCAGAGTCAAATGTGAAAGTGAGGAAGAGACAGGGGTTTGATTTTATATGCAATTCAGTAAAATTATAAATCTTTTACTTTAAATGTTTCATGTAAGCAATGGAACATCATATTTTCTTCCACATTTACTAATATCTGATGTTTCTCATGGAACATCCCATAAAAAATAAGATTATGTCCTCTCATATCTTTAAACGGAGGAAAAATCTTCTCCTTTTATTTTCCAAAAATCTCACGTTCTCCCTCCCTCACACACATGCATTTGACTTTTAATCAAAGCATTTTCTAATCTCCTTAACTCTTATTTCCTCACACACACACACACACACACACACACACACACACACACACACACACACACACACACAAATGCACACACACATACACAAATGCACACACACACACACACACACATAAATACACACACACACACACACACACACACACACACACACACACACACACACACACACACACACACACATTAACAAAACCTCAAACTAGGATAAAACTCTTAAACCTTCCCTTTCAAGAAAATCTAATTAATAAGAATAAATCTAATTAATAATAAGAAGGGAAAAGAGAAACCTTACCTCACCAACAGCATGTCGAGCTCCAAAGACACGTGCTCTGATCAAGCCCTCCCTCTGAGGGGTTTTCAGGACCCGAATTTTGTCATTTAGGCCGCTCATCTCATCCTGAACCTCAGCATGGTAACTTTCTGGAAATGCCAACAAGAAAATTTTGCAATCACAAAAGGTATCTCAGATAAATGTTTCCTTCAGATTATTTCAGTATTAGAGAAAAATAAAATACTGGAAAATCACATCCAAACTGCACCTTCATCAGTATCGTCAATGAGCAATATTTCATGCAGTAGATGTGCTGGGGTCCTGTCTAGGATGGAATGCACTGTGCGCAAGAGAGCCGAGTGATCCTCTCGGTAGAAGCACACCACAATGGATGCCTTTGGTAGATTGTGGGGATACTGGAGGTCTTTACATCTATAAGTAAGAAAGGAATATAATGACTACAATTCTCAGTATATATCACTATCACAATAAAAATACTAAAATATTTGGGGGATGTACAAAAGTCAGAAAATGCACACAAAGTCCAGTAACAAGAAAATGACTATATTTCAACTTTTTTTTTTAAGTAGCACCATCCCACCCCCCCCAATGAACCTGAAATTGTATACATACAGGATATACAAACAAACAAATTCAAACATTCAAATATATAATGTCAGCCCCCTCAAAAAAGCTGAATAAATATTTCTTCCTTTTTTATGATGTTTCTGAATTGAAAGTTCTGACCCAGAAATTGTTAAGGTAAAGTACTGAATGTGTGCATTCAATTACCATCCTCTGCCTCACTACTGCACCACAATGATCATCAAATATATATCTACAGTATATGTGTAGTTAAGATACATTTGTGTTATTCTTTAAAAGTAAAAATATAGGGATATTGTAGAAATGTTACTTTTAGTCTTCAAATGATACAATGGTCATAGCCCAGAATAGGATAACACTGGTATATTACAACTTCAAATACAGACATACTATGCTCTGAATTTTTATTTATTTTCTTAAAGTTTTCAGTGCATAGTATGTATCTGTGTACTTGAACAGCAACTTATCATTTTTATGATGTAACCAAGTAAAATGGTCCTGGAAGAAATATGACTACAAGCCACAGACTAACCTAATATACTATTGATATCTGGACAATGACTTTATATTTACAAGGGATTAAGGACCACCATCTACGGAAATAATATGGGCAGACTGTACCATGACTAGGATTAGATTAGAAGCCAAATTACCTCTTATCTCTTGTGTCTGGTATTGCACGATGGACTGATAGTCTTGAAGATATCAGTGTGTTGAAAGCATGAAGGCGATAACCATTATCTTTCTCCTTCAAAAACAACATGATACATAAAATTATCAAAAGATCAATTACACTTATCAGGAACAAACAAATAGTAATCATACATACTTCATAATAACAATTTCTTAGGCATGAAAAATATATCATAAGCAAAAAAAGAAAAGTTTAGACATTTTAACACTTAAAAACGCTTAAAAAGAAAGCAAGACAAAAGTACAACCTAATAAAGAAAGGCATTTAAGTTTGTTTCAAGATGGTTTCCCTGCCTCACTGCACCAGGTTACTTTTCCCCAAAAAAGGGGTTAGAGAGAGAGAGAGAGAGAGAGAGAGAGAGAGAGAGAGAGAGAGAGAGAGAGAGAGAGAGAGAGAGAGGGAGGGAGGGAGGGAGAGAGAGAGAGAGAGAGAGAGAGAGAGAGAGAGAGAGAGAGAGAGAGAGAGAGAGAGAGAGAGAGAGAGAGAGAGAGAGAGAGAGAGGCACAGAGAGAGAGAGAGGCACAGAGACAAAGAGAAAGAGAGAGAGAGAGAGAGAGAGAGAGAGAGAGAGAGAGAGAGAGAGAGAGAGAGAGAGAAAGAGAAAAAGAGAAAAAGAGAAAAAGAGAAAAAGAGAAAAAGAGAAAAAGAGAGAAAGAGAGAAAGAGAGAAAGAGAGAAAGAGAGAAGAAAGAGAAAAAGAGAAAGAGAGAAAAAGAGAAAAAGAGAAAAAGAGAAAAAGAGAAAAGAGAAAAGGAGAAAAAGGAGAAAAGAGAAAAGAGAAAAGAGAGAAAAGAGAGAGAAAAGAGAGAGAAAGAGAGAGAAAGAGAGAGAAAAGAGAGAAAGAGAGAAGAGAAAGAGGAGAAAGAGAGAAAGAGAGAAAAGAGAGAAAGAGAAGAAGAGAAGAAAGAGAAAGAGAAAGAGAAAGAGAAAGAGAGAGAGAGAGAGAAAGAGAGAAAGAGAAAAGGAGAAAAAGAGAAAAAGAGAAAAAGAGTCAGCCAGTCTTTCACCTCCTGATCCTCCTTGGTTTTGACAAGACCAAGCTCTTGCAGCAGCTGTTCACTCTGTTCCTTGGTTTGGGGCTTCTCTCGCACTCTCTCCTTGGGGTCCTTGGGGAACAACCCTCTTCTGATGTCCTTCCCATTGCTGTTCTCATATTTCTTCTTCTTCCACTGATCCAAGCTATTTATGTGTTTATTGGCCTTCTCTAACCTGTTGTCTGCTGCATCCTGGAAAGGCTTGTCATACATCCGGCCCCTAATATGCCTTTTGTCTGCCAGGCCTTTAAGTTCTTTACCAGCTTGGGAATGTTGAGCTGGTCCTTTGGGCTCTTTCTGTCTCTGGTAGATTTGCCGAGAAAATTCTGGTTCCTGTATTAAAAAGCGTAAAGAGGAAGAGGTTAGTGAAGCGCCGAATAATAAAAATACACATCCTAACAATTAAAATGGTAAACCTTGCCTGAAATAGCACACAGATATACAGGCCACCACCATGGCAGTTCTCATATCAAAATACAATACAATAGTATCAGAGGAACAAAAGTTCTTTCCTTTCTAAGAACCAAATTCAAGTCAAGTTGCTTTTAAAAGTCTTAAGAGGTAAACGTAAATAATCTCAACTTTTACAATTATTTTAGTGTTAGCTAACATTTATAAACAAACAAAACAGATTGCTTCAGAACATAGGCTAATATCAAATATTATCTTTAGATAGCTGAACTTTGTTTAGGGCACTTTTATTAATAAAACGACTTATTTGAAATCAATCATATAAATTTCATTTTTTTAAGTTTTTAAGATTCTATGAAGCCATAGAATTATCTTATTGAAATCCAAAAATTCTGGTAATGGTTCCCACACTTTCCCACATTTACTACATCTTAACCCAATCAAACCAGTTCATGTCTAGTCATGTCATGACAAATTGAGCCACAATGCGAGGTTACAAGCACCCATGCACTTGTGCCTGCTCTAAGATGAGTGTGCTAAACAACTGTCTGTGGTCAATGTGAGGATAAATCTCCTCAAAAGTATGCCTAAAGTCTCTTTTCTGCTTCTTTTCCTAAATATTGTGTATAGAGCAGCTGAAAGTGTAGTAACTGTATCTTCCAGCATTTCAAATTTTCCATAGGGACATCCTGTTATGAATAGATTTAATAAAGAACAGATTATCATCCCTTTTTATTATCAAATTACCAAATAGAAAGAAAGAAGCTCACCTGCACCAGCACTAAATACAGATAAATGATGATCAGCCACATAAAGGAGGCAGCTGTGATGCCCAACACAAAGGACCGGGTGCGCAGAGAGGACGCCATTGCTGGTGCTCCCTGGGGATAAAGCGAAAAAATAAGGGACTCCATTCATAAAAAGCTAAAATGGTTGATCACCAATGATAATCAACTGCAAAAATATTACATTAAATATAATAAAAATCAGTGCTAAAACAACCAAGTTGTGAGAACTAGTAAACGAGGGGAAAAATGAATAAGAATACGAAAAACCAAGAAAACACTAATAACCCTTTGGTGCCGGGTATGACGTGTACGTACATGCTATGCCCATCGTGAGTACTTGTTTGATTGTTTTTATGCATAGATGGCAACACTTGTACTAAATCACCAATGAGCCAGTTACAAGCACCGCCCGTCTCGCCCGTTTACCCGTTTCTTTGATTTACAAAATATTTTACGTAATCTTATTTTGCTGTTACTAATGTTAAATAAAATTATAAAAATTATAATGTTTATGATAAAAATAACACCATCGGTTTTCATAGCACTAGTGAAAAATACGTTTTTCCCGCCATTTAAATCAGGCGCTAGCAGAGCCATCTATCGGCAGACATTTCACGAAAAACATAGAAAGTGGGCACAATATTTTCCCCATTTTTTGTTCATTTTCCCCGGCACCATTGGGTTAAACATCAACTAAAATACTCACTACTAGGTTACTACTAATAACATTGATAGTAATATTAAATAATAACAACTACAACTACTACTACTACTACTACTCCTACTACTAATAACAATGGTAATAACAATAATTACAATAATAACAAAATATAATAACATTGACACTGATAACATTCATAGCAAGAGCAACAATAACAGTAATGATAATAGTAATAATAATAATAATAATAATAATAATAATAATAATAATAATAACAATAATAATAATAACAATAATAATAACAATAATAATAATAATAATAATAATAATAATAATAATAGTAATAATAATAAAACTTAGTAATAATAGTCATAGTAATAATAGTCATAGTGATAATAATAATAATAATAATAATAATAATAATAATAATAATAATAACAATGATAATAACAATAATAATAATAACAATAATAATAATAATAATAATAATAATAATAATAATAATAACAATAATAATAATAATAACAATGAACCGTATTCATGTTCACAAAAGGTATGAATAAGAATGAATATCATCACAATGCAAGCAATGTGTTTGACCAGTAATAATAATAGTAATAACAACAACAATAATAATAACAATAATAACAATAATAATAATAATAATAATAATAATAATAATAATAATAATACCAATAATAACAATAACAATGATAATGAATAAAAACAATAATAATAACAATGATAATAACAATAATAATGTCCAGAATAATACTGAAGTGTAACAATAATAATATATACCAATAACAATAATAATGATGATGACAATACTACAATTACTACTACTACTACTACTCTACTACTAATTATAATGATAATAATAACAGTAACAATGAAAAATTATGTTCAGAACAAAACACCCTCTTCTATGTGAAGGATAGATGAGCAATCATATATTATAAAGGATACATACAATGACTCAAGTTATCACCAAGCATTCATATTGTTTACTTTGGCAGGATAATGCATGCAGATCTCTCTAGTGATTTCTCATCAAATATGGAATATGTCCAAACCCTAGCTTCCTTTGCAGAAAGCTACAGGGATCACTATTCTCCAATCCTAAACAATCACTATGATAATAATAATACTTACTACAGTAACTGCACCTAATCTCTAGAACAAGCAAAAACTTTTCTTGCAATTTCTACCACCAGATGAATGATTACGTATGTGACTCTCTACTTGCCTGAGAGAATAGCCCTATTCAATGATGACGAGAAGATCAAATTCACGTATCAAAGTTCTGATTCCCATATCTGATAAACCTTCCAAACCACATAAGGATGCCTTATCAAATCCCCCTGAATTCCCTCATGCTTCCTGTAATCACTGCCCAAGTCTTGAGTGCCTGTGATGTCAAACAGATAACTTATCTTAATAAAAACAAAAACGTGAAGTCAGCAATACCATCTACCCATGCACTCACATCTGTATATACATACACGTACTCACATACATATTTGGGCTTGATACTAGTAAGTACCATACACAAAACAAGGATCAATAGCATGAGAAAAATAACTCTGGATTTAATTTATTCCTACCCTATCCAGTCAAGACCTGCAAAATGTCTGATGCAATGTCATTATATTCATACATAAGATCCCATTTCCCAAATTCCCTTGCTGGGATCTAAGTGCTTGATACAACCAGACATTAGTGGAAACAGGACTGGCAAGGACGACTGACCCTGAACACAGAGGTACAGGGTTTGGTGCAAAAGGTCTAGCTCAAAGTTTGTATAAGAAATATCTAAATGTTTAAACACATTGTATAAAGACGAAGTATACATAAATATTAAAAATTCTTTGGCTGATTTAATAGCAACATGAAAAATCTGTATATATATTTTCAGCTCAGCCTATGGTTAAAAAATACATAAGAAAAGAAGGAAAGAAAGAAAGAACAAAAGATATGCAAGTATAGATCTATATTACTTACATATATAATCTATATCCACAGACACATACTCATAAGTATATAAATATTGTATATATACTGCCAGTCAATGTATGTCTGTATCATCTCTTCCAATGAAGTGTAACCATTCTTGTAATAAACAAAATTAGACCTTAAGTTCAGATTTTGCATCTGGAAGACTCACTGTAAAAATGTTCCCCAATCCAACTCGACCTTAACCGAAAGCAAATCACTTCCAGCACAAAATCAATTCCTCAGGTTAAAAAACTGCAACGTGTCAAACTTGCATTACAAAAATCAACAGCAATAATAAAAAAAAGAAAAAAAATCCCGAGTTCTCACCGCTCGCCCACTTTCCATTTCCTGAAACTTTCTCTCCTCGGATGGAATGGAGTTAATTCAGCGCTTTCTATTGTCTCTACCTTGCCTCTGTGCGGTAAATCTTAAGCTAGTGACACTGCCAACTAAACAATAAATACCGCAAGATAAGAAACAGCATCTTAATGGCATTTATCTCATGAGAAAAACATGACAACCAACGACATAAACAGGTGGACTTGGGCACAGGATTTACTCACCCCCATAGACACCTCCCGCAAAAGCTTTCATCAAATGTGACAAGACCTCATGATTCTCCCGTAAAAGCGCCGACGGAGGGCAAAAATGGAGGAAAGGATCCTGAGGAGATGCCCTCGCCCAGCCTTCCTCGTCTCGCGCGTCTCGACCCTCGCC